TTAGGCTAGGTGGTGCAAGCTAGCTGCCCATTACAAAGGGTATAGCAGTTAACATTCATCCATCCATCCAGAATCGACAGAACCACCGTTGGTGTTGTCACATTGTCTTTTGCCAACACCGACTTTTTCGTTTGCAATAATAGACTTCTTCCGAAACCGACGCACCCCATCGTGGCGAAATACCACGCAGTGTACTCTGGGAACTAGTTGGCCGCTCAGTTTCGATTTCGACTGAGCAGCTTCATCTCATGCTATCACGCCGCGACCGAACGCGCTGCCTGCGTCTTGGATTATCTGGCTTTTTACGAATGCACAATACACTAATTTTTGAGCGATACAAAACAAAGACCGGGGCACTTTCCCTGTTTCCCGAAACACCGGATATTGTGTGTGCGTATGCAAACGTAGTAAAACGTGGCTTAGTCACCTCACCCCACGAATGCATCTTTGAGCTCAATGTCAGTAATCCCATCTAGTACCAGAAAACTACTACAACTGAAGTTGGTCACCTTCAGCCCTACACGTGTATTTTGTTTGCCAAACGTCCGCTTCTTGTTACTTCATTGGGTGAAAAGCAAGTCACATCCTCACAGGAGTATTGAAGACAAGCCCAGCGTTGGCGCATGAACTTTTAAGGAAACGCAATAAATTCGACCTCTCTACTGCACAAAAGTTACTATGATGTCTTCCTCATGCTCACATATCTCACACTCAAATTTTATGCTGATAGAAGATTAAGTTTTCGCAAACGCTGAGATCGGCTAGCTACGACGGAGGCCCTAACAAGCGTCCCCTACTCCTCGCTAAGCCTTTTTGGACGAGCTTTAACTGACGCCCAAGATCTGTGCCTGACCGCTGTGTCTCAAATTATCTCGGCATATTCAGTCAGAAGGAAAGCAAACACATAACAAATATTATGGCCATTAGCTACCGTCAAATGCGCTTTGAATAATTTCATTAGTGTGGCGCACGTTCATGCCCGTCTGGCGCACTTCCAGCAAACGGTGCGGCATTCTTCACACAAGTGCTAGACTTTTGCTTTCTTAAAATGGTTTGTATGTGCGAATGTGCCTATATGATTGCAGGGTAACTATGTGCATACGCGATGTTGAATATTAGTAGAATGCTAGCGGGTGGGGACTTCACTTCGTGCAGTGCTGCGGGGCAGTATAGATAAGAGATGAGAAGTGTGTTCAAATGAAGCTTTTCAATGGCGACTCCGAGTTTTACCTCGCGTACTCAGGTGTATTAAGAAAAATCAGTAATTGCAAAAATTTATATTACGTCCATGGACGCACAAAACAAACTTCCTGATCAACAACACTAATGTAAAGGCGCGAGCTCTATGTATTAGAATTCGCGCCTTTAATGTATTATTGGTTGCTACAACTTATTGATTCGTACACAGGCAAGATCCCTGAGCTTCGCAGCGTCGAGATTCCCAGCGCTGGCTCGTCCACGCACCTCGAAACGCTAACAGAAGGGCTCAAGTACAAAAATACAACAAGCATGCGTTAAGACAAGCTATACGTCTCGGGCTTTTGCTAAAGCTTCGAGGTCTGGCCATTTCGGTTAGTTTAGAGACCACAAACGACGCTCTCGGGACCAGAAAACATAAGATAACGTCCGTTTACGGTCAACGCTCAGTGTATAATCTCTTGTCGACGTGTCGATCGAAACCGAAACCATGCCACTCTCCTCCCTGGCCAACTAGTTCCCAGAGTGCAACACGCGCCGTTTAGCATGCAGGGATTTATGGAAGTACAGTCAAACCTGTTTATAACGAACAACAGGAAACGTTACGATCAGTTCGATATAGAAAAAACCATTTACAATGAACTTCCACGATGCATTCGTTGTAAGGCGAGAGCTTCTCTTTCTTTCTCATCTCTTCGCTTCCGCCTTGTAACAAAACGCTAGAAAGTTTTTTTCTTTTTGCATGCGTGCAGAGTTTGTTATATTAGCTTATTTCCCCTTCTGAATCGCTTCTCTTCATGGGCAACCGCTTTGGGTTGAAGAGTTTTTCTTTTTCTGTGCGTGCGTGCTGAGTGCTTTTTTAGCTTTCTCCCCTTCTGAATCGCTTCTTTCGCTCATTTTTGTTCGAGCTTGAGCTTTTGGAATTATCTTTCTTACCTCCTCTTTTTTTTTTTGGGGGGGGGGGGGGGGGGGGGGGGTACAGGCTAGAAGACGATTGTTGGCACGTTTTCTGAAGCCTTTCCGGGGTGCTAAAAAGTTTGATATAGCCAATACGATGTTCTTTATAAAAAGCACTTTTTACATGCATTTTTATTTAAATTTTCCGTGAGTTTGATATCGACAATAATTCGCTGTACGTGGGTTCGTTCTAAACGGGTTTCACTGTAGTCTATTGCTGGTGAACAAAATGGATTTCTAAGTTTTGCATGCTACAGGTGAAGCATGAAATCAGCTTACCCAGAAGGATGACAAAGCCGCTGAGTATGGGGTGGTTTCGCTTAAGATTCATGGCGGCTGTCTGGGAGTTGGTCACATAATAGAAGAGTCCGAACGCCACAGTGACAGCCAGCATTCCACACAGCATTTTGGAAGGGTGGAGTATTCTAGGGGAGCAAAGAGACACAGTTGAGGGACAGGTTTGCTTCTGAAGGGGGGAAATCTTCTACAGACTCCGACAGAATAAGAACGACAGCAGTCTTTCAGTGGCCCCGCCTCCAGCATGAGCTTCCTACCTTTGATAAGGCTTCGGTGTCTCGTGAGCCTCGATCGTGCACACGCAGCCAAAGCACGACGGAAGGCAAGGAGAGCGTGCTAGAGGCCCGGCATCCGAGAGACACGCCCTGCCGTTCTCATCCCGTCAGTGACTCTAGCCACGTCGGCGCTTAAGATAGTTACGTTTCTATTCAACCTAGGGTGTCTCAATATCTTTGTTTGGGATGATGACGTTCGTTGTGGTACCCGACGTCGACAGAACGCGCTTACGGGGAAAATAAAAAGAAATCGCCGGAAACAAAATGCTGCTGTAGTACAGTCAACGCCAAGAGCGCGTGGAAGAGACGCTGTTTCACGCGCTCCGGAAAAAAAATGGAAAAATTAGCGTTCGAAACAAAATGGTCAGATGTCATCACCCTAAGCAACTCGCACACGAAGGCGCCCTAACCACTTCGCTTTTCTTTATCGTAATACGTGACATCCGACCTATAATTATACACACATCTTACACGGAGCTCTTTTACAAAAGAGGCTTCTCGTGTGCGCCGTGGCTCGAGTGAGTGCTAACGAGACGTTTGGGTTTACATATTACTGCTACTGCCAAGAGCGTCAAAAAGTCAGTTGACGCGTAGAGCTCGAAGCCCATATCCGCAGGACACAGTCCGCAATTTTATTATTGTTGGGCTAAGTTTGGTTTTCATGGTTATTGTTTGTTTGTTTTTATTTATCGCAACCAAGGCGTTGCACATCCAGGTCATCGACAGACGACGGCAAACCTGGCGCAAAGTGTTTACCCGTCTAAATTTAGGGTGGAGACTCGGAGCGACTCACCCAACACCGAGGAACACCAAGATGGCCAGGACGAAATAGTTGGACTGGTAGTAGAGCAGATTGTTGACGACTCGATTTCCCCATCTCTCGACGTCTTTTACGTTTGGCAGCTGAAACCTTGCCGATTCAAGAATAAAATCGTCCAGACTTCGCAGAGGCGCGACTTCCACTTCGTTCGCCATCTTGTTTTGCGTGCGTCGCCAGCGTCGCCGGAGGCGCCCCCCTCGTTTCAGTTTCGTTATTAGCAAATTTGTTATTAGTCTCGTGAGCGAAAATGTCGAGTGGCGAATATGACGAGTACACTGTAATGACGAGGTTGGAAACCACAGCAATCAACAGGGATTGGTGTTCCACGCGCCGCACGTGCTGGCGTCAGCAGTAGTAACTTTTGTAAAGCAAATACCTAAAACAAATTGTATCTTGCACGCGTGTTCCCCTACGCTTTATTTTGGTTATTTAACTTCGAATCTTTTATACGGGGAAGGCGTGCGCGTGTGGCGCGTGAACACCAATCCTTGCATTCTCCTTGATGCTTGGGTAATTCAGCAATATACCTACTCTCTAATCACTCGCATTCGAACGAGTAGGTAGGAGAGCTGTACAATTGCTGTACGAACGTTCAACTTAGCGTTCTAAAGCTCGGGACATCAAGGAAAAGGAGGAGATTGGGAGCCGTGAAAATGCACACTTTTCCGGGGCTTTTCATCGAGTAACTGAATGAACAAGCACCTTTCTTACCCATTCAGCAAAACCTAAGCATACCGAATTTGGTAATATAGGAAAGTTCCCCGTACACACGTCTGTGCGAACAAAACTTACTGGCAAGTGGAGCCACAGAAAAATCTCAAAATCATGGGCGTACCAACCGGTACTCTGAAAACGGCGGGGGGGGGGGGGGGCGTACAACCCCCCCCCCCCCCCCCCCCCCTCCGAAACAGCCACCACTGGGCATGGCAAACACTGTCCGGCAGCGCCCAAGGGATACCAAGGGCACCGGGCCCTGGGGAGAGGTCTGGTTTGCCGCCCCCCCCCCCCTCCCCCCCCCCCCCCACACACACACACACTCAAAAACAACTTGGTACGCCACTGCTCAAAATCATTCTAATACACTGTCAGAAGCAAGCATTTATTGTTTTCTTACACTTGCTTGGTACTTATTTTGCGAGCAAGTTCCCACAAAAACGGAACATTTAGTTTTACTGATACCAAATGGCGGAACGGCAAAAATGACCCCCTAAAAGGGACTGTCCCGGCCACTCTACGCTACCCCACACATAACGCAAAACCCGGATCTCCAAGGCATTGCTGGCATTGCCTCAGCGACCGAAACCGTTGAAACCCAATGCATTGAACAGGTTGTTGCTTGTTGCAGCGATCGCCGCAAACTAATCTGGCCCAACTCTGACGTCAGAGTGACGTCACGACGCTCCCATTCCACACAACACTTCCCACGCTATCTCCACTATCTCTCCTTCCATTCGTTGGCTGCCGCCACCGGTCGCCCCTGTGAGCGGTGAGTCAACTACTGCGGAATCGACGACGGGCTTCTGGGGGTTGTTGTGCCTCCGTCCGTTTCCGATCTCGAGGCACATCGGGTGATTAGACGGACCAAACAATGAACCTGCTCGTGCTCGTCAGCGTGGCCACGGTCTACCTGTCATCGGTTGTCGAGGAAGGTAAAGAAGAAAATGCCATTGTTTTGTAAACACGCCGCTTTTGTCGAAAGAGCCACGAACTTGTTGCGGCTCGGCTCTCTGGCCCGTCGCATGGAAACAGATTTTGACGGGCGGATGGACGATTCCTTTTCATTCATACCTCGACAATGGAACGCAGCCATAGCTCGTTTTACGAACGAAAAAGCGGTGTAATAGAAGCGGACGCGCCGTGTCTCGCGCGTTTTGCGTCGAGAAGTGGGCGATTCCTTTGCCCTTTGGTGCCACAGACGTTTGAAGCATTCGACCGGAGGGGGGTTTACGTCAAATTAAGATATTTGCCCGGCATGTTTTGCTTCCCCCTGTTTTTTTGTTGCGAAGTCACAAACTTTGACTGCGGCGGCGGCGGCTGTGTCTTCGGGCGCGTTCTCGAAATCTGAGACGCTGCGGAGCGACGTTAGGCCTTTCGACAATCTCGATATTTCGCGCGCACGAGGACTAAAAAAGAATCAACAAAAATAACGGCAGTGCTTATCGACGACTGTCATCCTTATCTGACACTGGTGGTGGTATGTTACGTGACACCCCAGTAACGCGATTGTCAGTCACGGCGGGTAAACGGCAGTCCGCAACAACGCCCTGTTTTCTGCTTTAGGGAGGCGAGCAAACGCTTGTGGCGGCGTCGAACTAGCACGCTCGGCATTTATTGATCGGATAAATATGTGCATTCGGGGGTCCCTGAGCGGGCTAATGACGGCTATCAGCTGTTAATCGCATTTCGTACGTACGGCCATTCGAATGCTTCGGAATGAAGTTGTCATTGGCCGAGTGTTGCACTGTCAGTCGGATTCGTAGGCAGGAGACGTTTGAAGGGTCACTTATGTGAATTTTGATATATTATGTTTATGGCGTCTCCCGTAAGTATAATAGAAAATAAAATTTACATTCATGCCTGACATTCTCCCCCTTTTAAGACGCGACCGAACACCGCGACACGCCCCCCCCCCCCCCTTTTTTTTTTTAGATATCTCAGATTGTGATGGTAGTTTTGGGTTTTATAGGATGCTTAGGGTGTGTAGATTCAGTTAGCGTCATAAAAATAATCTAAAAATCCACTTTAATGCCCCTTTAAGGGGGGGGGGGGAAAGCACAATCATTGCAAATTCATCAGCTGGTGCACTTCGGGACACAAAAGGCTACTTTTCACACAGAATGCACAGACAACGTTTAAATTCTCCTTTCTTCGTCAGCTCCTTTTTCGCCTGAAACAGATGATCACCCGTATGCTGTCTGTCTAATGTCATTGATAAGTCATGTCTCAAACAAGCACAGACAGGATGATACCTTGGTAACCTTTTTTCACTTGTGCTAAATAATGGATCCAGAAGAGAGGGGCTGCCACAACACGGCCGTTGTAGAGACTCGGAAGTAGCAAATTACGAAAAAAGAAAGGAAGCCCGGCATCCGTCCATTTGCAGCTCTAGCTGGTCATGTCATTGTTACGTTCATGTAATCTCAAGAGGAACAGAAGGATCATTCGATTTCCTACTGCCAGCTCTGTTTAATGCTTCATTTAATTGAGAGGCAAACATTTGTCCAGTTTACGCATGCTCAGCTAGCCTTGCCTTAGGCTACAGCAGCTTTTCAAGTTGACCTTGGCATCACTAAGATCAACATTCTATTTACGGCAGCTATCTTTCATCGATGGGAATTGGTGGAGCCTCCTCAGAGGGAGCGAGTGACGACGTTTTGGTTAGAGACTTGGCGACATTTCAGCCCCGAAGGTGCCGAGTCCCTTAGTGAAACATCAGTAGCCTGTCTAAGGCTCAAAGGAAGTCCTTTTTCGAGTTTATCTTACCAACTTTAGCTGCCTTTGCAAATTTTTCTTTTTTATCTTGTGGAAGGAATTCACAATATGTCCTACCAGTTCCAGCTGGTGGAGGTTTATTTTGCTATGAGCTCTAGGGAACTGTAAACATGATTACTGAAATTCGAAGAAATAAAAAATAAAAGGGACAAATTCGAAACAATGTAAACGACAAACGAAGAATGGTTGTCCCCATTCATTGTCTGCGTATATATATATTTTTGTTTTTCAAATTTAATTGAGGTTTTTTTATTAGGTTGGTGTTGGTTCCAGCTGTGCTTCAGGGTGGCTTAAATATAGTCTTGTTTTTGTTCTCCTCAAAGGCGTCGGCTTGTTGGGAACGTGAACGCTCCAAATTCGGTTTCCCACCACTACCCGTCGGTTCATCAGTTGCTAGTGTTCATTCAGAGTTGTGACAAAGCGTTTTGTGTGCACATTGTAGCGCTTGCGGCAACATGCACGAGGGAAGTGTATGACATCACCCAGTACTTCACATGTCCTGGACCGTTGGACAAACGCTCGGCAAAGTACTGCTGCGGCTCAAAGAAGCTCAGATTCTGCTGCGACCTTGAGGACTATTCTGAAGCCATGTAAGTATGCCCCATTTTTTTCTTTTGTGTGTGTGTGTGCATTGGGTGAAGGTGGAATATTTTATGCAGTCCTGTCCGAGATATCTTCAAATGAAACTGGTACCTGACAACTCTTCGTCGGTGCTCTGCATTAGACTCGGCTTTTGTATACATGCTTTGTACCGACGTCACATTATGCATTTCGCGCCACTACGGAAGAGTGAAAGGAGGAAGATGCTTTTGTAAAATTTTGAGTTTATTTATTTATTTATTTATTCATATTACCCCTAAAGGCCCTCGTGAGAGGGTATTACATAGGGGGGGTACACAAATCGTTCCAATAGGAACTAGTGCACAGTGAACAGCATATGAGAATACTAGAAAACAATCAATACACTTAATAATAAAAAGAAAATAAAGGATACACTCAAAAACGAATAAAAAACATACACTCACTCATCACACTGCAATAAAGCTAAGTCAAGCTAAAACAAAATAGTACACATTTGCTCTGCACGTTCCGGAAAAAAGGAAACAACAATGTAAAACAGCAAAAGTTAGATGGCATCAGTATTTTGAATTTGTTCTTGAAACTTCGTGGTGTCTTTTTCTGAGGCAATGTGCGATGGTAGATTATTCCAATCGATTGTGGTACGTGGAATGAGTGACCGGGAAAAAGCAGATGACTTACAGGTTACGCGTTTAACTTTGTAGGGGTGATCGCGGCGTGGAAAAATAACGGCAGGTGGCTCGAAGAAATCACCGTGAAGTGACGCGTGGTGGTAAAGTTTATGAAAAAGAGATAGGCGTGAAAGTTTGCGACGATGGAGTAGTTCGGGTAGCTCTGCTCGGCGTTTTAGTGCTGTGACGCTGGAATGATGAGAATAATCTGAAAATATGAAGCGAGCGGCACGATTTTGCAGTGATTCAATGTCGTTTATGATGTAAGCAGGTTCGGGATCCCAAATGGCTGATGCATATTCTAATTTCGGACGTATTAGTGTGGAAAGTGTGGATTACTGGTTAATCTTCTATAATCTTTAGACGAATCGGCACGTCTTGGACACACAAAAGAGAGTCCCGGTGAGAGGGGATTTCATCCTCCCCTCTTCTCTGGTTGTTGCCGGAGTTCTGGCAATCCGATTGCAAGCTAGTATGATTTCTGGACAGAATGCAATTCAAGTGCAACAAAGCTGCCAATTTGCACAAATTGTTCCATGAACTGGTTACATATATGTGATGAAATGTTTGAAAATGAACATGCCTTTATGTTAGAGATACTGTGAGACATAAGGACAAGCGTATGGATATAGAGAATAACATAAAGTATGGTTAGATGTTCAATTATTTTAAGGTTTAATGTCACGCTGCCCAACATGCCAAATGATGCAGTTAGGGTTTGGTTTTCTTTTTCTGATACCTCAGTTTTTATGGTGGGACAAAATTCGTGAAGTTTGTTTTTTATGGCCAGGACTGCTGCAGTCTGCAGCAGCCACCCGCTGCTTATTATTATTTTTATTTTTTGTTTCAGCTTTTATATTTGAATGTTTATATGCGGTGAGATGAAGGTCAACTCAAGACAGCTATGAAAAGTTATACCACTCATGTGCCAGGGGAATTTTTCTTTATTATTTACAAATTGAAATAAAATTTTTACAGTTTGTTATGCTTAATCTTTATAAATCTGGTATTATATTTGATATAGCTTGTTTTTTATGTTCTCAAGGCAATGTACATGCAGAAAAAGTCATGTTCTTGTGCACACGTGAGGGATGGCGACACACTTAAAAAAGGCTAGTAGAATAAACAAATTCTCTAATTTTAAACCAGTGAGTGCAATGAACAGTAAAAATAATGTGTGTGATGCTTCTTTCATTTTAACCTAATTAAAATAGCAAAAACACCATTTCAAGGGCTAACAAACGTTCCTTAAATTTTTCATAAATAAAAAAAAAAAATTCTAATTAAATCTAAGTAGTTACATTCTGCATATTCTAAAGTATATGCATGCCAAGTTTGGTTGTGATAGGACAATATTAAGAACAGATTCTCGTGCACCAACTGTGAAGATGCCCCAAAATTACATAAAAAGGAAAACGCGTTTGAATGTTACCATACATGTGTAGCTATACTCTTTCGCGGTGCGGAAAATATTATGTTAATAAATTTCCATGAGAAATTGAAGCTACAGCAGATAGCAATGGAGAGGAGACGGCTAGGCCTACTTGCCAACGTGTGATGGCGGATGATGTCGCAATTCTGAAGAACCACACAGAAAAATGGCCCAAAATCATGCCGTTTGGGTTGCCTGGAGGTCTTCAAATGCGTATTTGACTAATTTCGTGATCAAAACCGGCACTAATTATTTTATACACCAAATATAAAGATTAAAAAACAATAAAACATCATAAAACTCCAGATCAAATTTTTTGCAAAATATTGCCACCATTTTTCGACTTGCATCTACCCATAAAATGATTTGCTCTCTGAGCACCCAGTCCAAGCTCTTTCTGCTTCGAGTCCTGTAGGTGTGACAACCTGTGGTTCAGTAGGTGGAGTGGTATCAAGTGTGGGGTTATGCCCGGTGTTGCCAAATAATGAAATTTACTACCAGATTTTGGAAATGTGGGGAAATTCCTTGCTGTCCTGGTTAGTGAACCACCACACAAGACAATATCTGATGAAATGTGGGGAATAATGCCTCTTGACCCAAAGTAACTGAAAGTGCTTCTTCTGCCGCATCTGCATCAAAGTAGCAAATGTTTGGGGCCACAGGCTGCTGCTGGGTTGAAGTAGAGCTGTAGATAGAGCCTGAGAGCCACAGATTGAAGAGGGCAGATTAGAAAAAAATAGTTTACAGAAAAGCAGCCTTCCAGGGAGTACACCTTTCTGAAAAGCATGATGAGGACAATATTTTGTGCGTGCTTTTAAGATAAGTTAGTTTTCATTTTATCAGAACATGCATGTTTCAACTGCAAGAAATATTGCCTTTTCCTTCCGAGAACCGATTCTTGTAAAAACTCATGTGCACAGAGCATGAACGGTGCACAAAAACTTGTTTTTTTTCTTCTCGTGGTGACATTGCAACGAGCACGATGACAGTTTCGGTTTGTTGGTCCATTTTGTTTCACTTTAGCTTTGTTTCTTTGAGCACTGGGCTAATTAATATACCTGAAACTGATTGGGTTAATTTCACTTCCTAAAATATGTAATTAAAATAGAATGCTTCAGGAGTCTTTTATGTTAACTCTAGTGCCTGTTGAAATTTGGTGAAATTCCAATGAATCTTGTGTCGCGACTATTTTCCGATGTGGCAATGCTGGTTATGCCACTGAAGCAGTTCGTTGACACTGTCCCTGCCTTGTGCTCTTTGTTTGCAATCACTTCAAGCTCCTCTATTTATGAAACTTGCATTTTGTTTCTTAGGCCCCGTGTGGACTCGGTTATTAACTGGATTGTTCGTCTACCGTGTCTTCAGTCATATCCTCAGCAGGGCTCAATTGTGCCTGAATTTTGGAACTTTCTTGCTGCATATCCTGTCCTCATTGCCCATAGTCTACATTGCTTGGTTCATTGTCCACTCTGTGTTGGGTGTATTGTACCTCGTCTGTGCTTTCAGCAAGCAGAGACATTCAGTCCCAATTTTCAACTACAAATTGCACACTAAAAGTTGAGATGCCGGAGATATTTAATTTCAGTCACATCATATCATAGTGGGTATTTGGGAAAGAAATGTGCAACCAAACGGGAGGGAATGTTTACGCATTGCCACAGACCTTAAAAATGTATTTGCCAATTTGCTCTATTTTTACTAATACTAATCTCGATTGAACTTGGTAATGAAAAGAAGTAGGCTAGACAGCTATGATTAAAGATGGATACATTTCTATTTAAAAGGAGAAGCAATGCTACGATGTGGCAACACTTCCAATTAAAGCAAACCGTTCAGGACACCAGTGACAGCTTGGTGCGTCTTTTACGTAACTCGCCCGTTGAATTTGAAGCCACCTACGGGCCGTTTGTGCGGCTTGAAGTGTGTAGCACTTTGGCTTGTTAATCTGGACAAGGGAAAGAGCTGGTCTCTCTGTCGTCTTTTGTCTGCTTCAACGCCCTCTCTGCGGTTCTCTCATTGTCTCGGTGCTTTCCGGTGACCAAGCTACAAGCACGGCCACAAAAACAAACACTGGGGATTGAATGAGGATCGAAAGAAGCTGCGTAAGGCGGTTCACATCCCGCGGACCAACAGGTGACTCGAGCTGTGGCCACTGCCTGTCCCCACCTGCCCGCTGGCTCTTCCGCACCGTGTCGCCTGCCTGGCTGCAGCATTTGTTTTTGTTGCTGGTGGTCAGCCTGACTGCGTGCACATTGCTATTCCCCCTCCCCTTTTCTCGTTAGTTTGTTCATTCTGATGAGTTTCACCCTCGGGACTGTAATGTCGCCTTCCCAGAAGAAGGAATCCCTCGAGCTGTTGCAAGGAACGGGTGAATGGGAGTGCGGTCGAACGTGCGTAGAGGTTGTACGTTTGCCGGTTTTAACTCTCGTTTGAATCGGGGTAGAAGAAGCTCGAATACTGCTCCCACCGGTTCCAATATGAATGAGGCGTTGTGCCTGCGTGCATTCGCGTTGTCGCTACCGCGTAATCCAGGTTGACGGCCCCAGGTTAGGAGTTGTACTGCGTTGGCAATATTGCTCCTCCACAGCAGTAAGGGCGTCAGACGCCGTGTAAAGCAGACAACCCACCGTTGCTTATAGTACTTTCGTAAAACAGTTATTTCACTTTTGTTTCGAATTAATAACCACAGGTACAAATATAAAATAGTACGAGGTGTTCCCGAAAAAATAAACTTGAGCAGTGTGCTCGTGTTGTCCTGTTCTTTCTGTCCTATGTTCCGCGCTGTTCCATCTAATCTATTCCCGAAAAAATTTACAGGTTTTTTCCACCGTAAAAATAAACTATGCATCGCCGAATGCTCATTCTCCGCCCAAAGGTAGCACTAGAGGCCAGAACCAGATGCCAAAGTTCAGCTCGAACCAATGTTTTGTTCATAAGTTATAAGTGATTTTCTGAAAATTTCAATGGGAAAATGGGGCCCATTTTGCTCGTTTTCCTTTTCTGCGTTGAGAGCTCCACATATTTGAGAGCTCCATCGGCCACCATTTTCCCATCGGAATTTTAGAAAATCGCTTATAACTTTCAAATAAATATCAGTTTGTGCTGAAACTTTAAAATCTGGTTCGGACCTCTAGCACTATTTTCGGGCAAAAAATGAGCTTTCAACTATGCATAAATAAACAAAGGCCCTGTAAATGTTTTTGGGGACACCCTGTAGTTGGAATTGAATAGGTTCATATGAGTCAAAGCCTTCTCCCGCTGTGCAAGTGCGGACCATGTTGCAGAGGGTGTTTAACTCCGGCTGTGGAGCAGATATCGCAGTTGTCCGCCACAAAGTCCCCAAGTGTTGTGGGAAGTCATTGTTGCTTGCTTTCTAAAAAATGCAGTTACAGACTACCTAGGAGTTGCACGCAACATTCAAAGGTTAAAGAAGCTTCTTGCTCGTCTAACTTCAGCGTGAGGTTTGCATTTCTTGAACACTGAGTGAATGTTGTGCAAAAACTCTTGGCTCTTCAAAGCTGCTTCTCTACAGTACTTTTTGGAGACCTTTTAATAAGAAGTTGGCGGTGGATGGTAAAGCAATGCAACACTTTAACTCCACCATTTTAGTTACTCTTTCACTTTTTTATGCTACAAAAGATGAAAGTAGCACAGCAATCTTTGATTCATACTTTCTATTCGACTGTTCATGCAGATCGAGATAGTTTTAGTTCTTATTTGGGAGGAGGGACAAAATTTTATAATTTGTGTCAATTTCTGGCCCCTTAATGGCTGATCCAGGTGACAAATGCAACAAAACTATTCTCATCTCTAAACCCGTATTCCCCTCACGAACCGTATTAAGGAAAGTCCGACTCTTCACGGAGCATTACTAATTTCCTCCTTTACTTGGATAATTAAGATATATGTAGGTGAATTTTAGATTAGATATATGTTATCTTACCAAGACGCACATGTTCCAAACGCCAAAAGCATTGTTTTCTTCGACGAGCAAATCACGTAAGAACTACTTCGCGCCGCATATTGAACAATGCGCAAAACTTGCTTTTTTTCTTGAGGTGAAAACTGGTATAGTATAGCTTGGGTGAAATTGGATTATGCCCCTGAATCACCCAACCCTAACATATGCCGTCAGCTTTCTCGCAGGATGAATATGACCGCTTCTATTACTGCCAAGGCTTTTTCCTTCAGTTATTGAATAACTTGTTCACACATGTATTTGACCTTTTTCTTTTCTTCTATGTTTCTTTTGTTATGCATCGCATGCCTCAGTCCTCTCGGTTTTGCATACAAGGCTGCCAACCTGGATCGGATCTGAGCTAAGAGGCAGGGCACCAAGGCCCCCTGGCAATGTTCGCATGAGTGATTAGCAATAGCAAGCCTTATTGAAAATAGATGAAGCTTAGTAACAGAAGTTTGTAGGAAACTGCAGAAATAAACTCGTAGAAGTGCGGAAGAACAGGCAATGAGACTCACGTCGACACCCGCATGATTGGGCGATAAAACAATGCATCTGGGCTCATTTACTTCATGGCACCTTCTTAATTCACTGTGCCATGCACACCTGAGCGAGTCAAAAGAAATGGAATTCAACTTCACATACATAAGTTCGTTTAAAGATAAAATGCATTTTCTTTAGGTCGTTTGGATAGTAAATTTTGTGGTGAGGCGAATCATTTTGGAAGTGTACTGTGTATGCTTATTAGTTTTGAACTGAAACTGTTATGTTAAGAAGACAGTTGGTTTATAGCCCATTGAATCGGCTGGACGCAACTGCAGATTTTCTGGCATCAGCTGCTGTTTGGTGTTTATCTTTATCGGAGAACAGAGTCCACAAACATGATTAATCTTTGGTAGCTCAAAGTACAGATCGATGCCGCAATGATTCCGGGTGTTTTAGATTTTGCCATAGCCTCTGTCCTTTCCGGCATCGGAAGTTCCTTTTTTTTTTTTTGTCGGCGTATCATGAAGTTCCCGCATCATTGTTCTTTGTTTTTCACGTTTCTACAACTGTTGCACCTGGTCTTGTCTTCTGAAAGATTTTTCGCTTCCATATTTGGTTATTTTGCTATGCTTTCTTTTTCCTTTTCTAAGGGGCTTTGTTTGTGAGGAATGGACTTTTTCTTGCTGCAGTTTGGTATTATTGTGTGCTTGTTGACCTTTTTGAAAGTTTGTGAATATTTAACTTTTTTGTGTTTTTTGGAATTGTCGCTGTTCTGAATGTTTGTTCCTTTGTCAGCCTACAGGTAGCCATAGTGAGTGGCCATTGTTGAATGGTAGTTTTCCTCAAATATTGCATCTTTATTTTGTTTCTATTTGCTTCTACATACGGTCTATCATGCAGAAAAAATGTTTTTTATTGATATGTGCTCTATTTTACTTTTTTTTTGCTGCAACTTTGCTTATGCTTAGCTTGTGTCAAATGTCTTTGCTCAGTTGGTTAGTTTCTGTTTGATTCAACATCATTTTGGTGTTGGAACTTGTTTCCATTTCTAGCATCTTGTTTGTGAAAAGTCTCTATGCCTTGTTTGTGCATATTACTTTTATTGATTTCACATAAATATTGATTATATGTGAGTGAATATCTGATTTATTTAACTTTTTATGCTGTACAGTAGCTTAGTTTAATGCCTGCATACAAGGCACTTGTGAACATGTATCTTAGAAATTGCAATATTTTTTAATTTAATTTTTTGCGTTTTTTTTTTTATAATAAAGTACCTGACCTCAGTAGTAGTAATGAGGAGTTTCACTGGTGAATCTGGAATAGTTTTACAGTTCTTTAACTTTTTGACCTTGTGAGTGAAAAACCAATTCTAACCCTATAAAAAGCCCCCCCCCCCTCTCCCCCTGCACACACACACACACACGAAAATTAAAGCAATTTATTTTTATTAGCTCTAAATTCAGTTGTAATTTTTTTAGTACCTGACAAGAATAGAAAGGATATCGATTTTAGAAATCCCTCTCGATGCAGCATTATTATTGGGATGTTCCGGGCATTCTCGATAATTAGTGGGGCAGACAGAGGAGAGGGTACATGGTCTTTCAGATTCTAAATGACGCCATCAAAAAGTGCAACCTTTGTCTCCAATTTGGTACTTCATTTATTTGATATGGATCAGTAGTGCCTTCTAAATTTGTTCTACAGAAATCTTCTAAAACTGGACGTGCCTACTTTGTGCCACGTTAAGAGAATGCCGAAGGCAGTACTTAGTTGTGACAGTAGTATTTGAAACTGGTTTTGACAAGTGAAACCATTGTTGTCGAAAAATGGAGGATGGGGAATGGCGACCACGGTCCTGAAACACGACCATCGACAGTTGTTCCAACGTTCCTCTCTCTCCCCTTTTGCAGCAAGTCGGTTGGCGTGGTCGTTGGAGTGATCATAGTGATCATCATCACCCTAGTCGTGGTGGTGATTGTGTCCTGCTTCTGCTGTAGCTGTTGCCTGCTGGCCAGGAGGAGACAGCAGCGAGGGCAAGTGCTCTACGGTGAGTCGCAGCTGCCGAGATTGACGCTTGGTAGCACCAATTGAAGTCGGAGAATTCCTTCCTACACTGGGCTACCCGACGGCTTTTCATTAAGAAGGTTTTTATTTCGCTGCACGGATGTGCAATTTATATTGGAATGCTGCTCCTTAAAGGACCAGTGCAATGATTTTAACATTGAAAGAACTTGCAGCGTACAATTTTTATATAGAATTGTCTCGGCACAAGTGAAAGAAAACGCGCTACTTTCCCCGAAATACTGCAATTCCACTGTGTAATCGTGGAGGAAAAAACGGATTACTATTTCCCAATCTGCAGCTGCATCTGGCAGACGTGGCAACCACGGAGCAAAGTCATGGGAAGTACACTAGTTTTCGTGGCACCATCTATGGGAAGTTGACAAACTATTCCCTCTTTGTCGGTACTCTCCCTATCGTCTCTGTGGTGAACAGTCTTTTGTCCCGATCGCTCGCCACAACCTTCGCCGATGCTGAACGGGTGCGACGCTTGTAAAGTTGACAGTCGCGGAGGGAGCGCTGGGGGCCATGAAGAGACTCCTACACTGGTCCTATAGTGTCCCGCCGGACGAAGCAAGGACCCACCTAGGATCTAGATCGCTCTGTTGGCCACGGCAATTAGGCAGCAGAACAGATAAGGAGGTAATGGGTTTCAATTTCCAAAGGATAGAGGAATGATATTATAATTTATGCCTCCTGCAGTGATAGAAGTGCTGTGCCATTTGCGCCAAATTCTGCCGTGACTGAAAGTCTGCTACCTCTTGCACCAAAATGCCGTTTTCGCTAAGAATTGTGCCACACCTGTGCCAAAATGGGCAAAGCAAAAAAAAATATATTATTGGTCGATTTTAATATTTAAAGAAGTAGGAGACCAGGAAAATGGTACACGTGTATTTCACAGCATCTATAGTTGTTGTATAGTTTATTTTATCTTAGGTCAGAGTACAGTCAAAAGCTAGAACAGATACAACCACAAACGCATACTAAAAGCGCAAGTCACGGGACATTCGCTGGACTTGATTTCTTTCGTCGACAAAAGACCATGTACAGGAAGGACGAGTTCCATGATGTTGTGCCTTGACGCTGGTCGGTCCCATTGGCTCATAGCAGCGACTGCGCCTTAAATTAAGGTGAAGCTAAGTATTAATATTGCGCATCAACCGTGCTGGTTGATTGATGCACTGGTGGATTGATCGCCGACATTGTCTGAATTTTTAGATGATGTCGGTAATGTGAGAATCTGAAAGTTGCGAGAAAACGTCCAATTGTAGGATGGCATCTATTCTGATGAGACAGTGTCAGGGTCTTGTACTCCTGATGAGATCACTTGGCTCGTCTGCCGCATGCCTCCGTGCTGCCTCTCAACAGTGCACATGTCGAGCTTCACTGCTTTGCACAGGAGTGTTAGGCGCAGTGGCTGACATGGGTGAGCGCCGAGGTTTGCGCGATAGGCTCAGTAGTTATGCTCAGTACTATTCCAGGTCAACATTTTTTTAGAGCGCAGTTCTTTGGCACCTGTCTCCGTGTTTCGCGGCATTGTCGTAGGCGTAACAGCGCTAAATTTAGCGACAAAATTGACATCACGTGACCTCAACACCAATTCAGTTTCCCCGCTAAATTTAGCGGGGAAAATGACGTTGCATGACTTGGTGTCACGTCACCTATGAACAAATTCAGTTTCTCCGCTAGATTTATCGGGAAAATTGACGTCGCATGACGGTCAACAGCTATTCAATTCCCCTCTAAATTTAGTGGGAAAATTTACGTCACGTGATTTCAACAGCAATTCATTTCCCCGCTAAATTTAGCGGGGAATTGAATTGCTGTTGAGGTCAATTTTTTGCTGTTGGCGCTGTTGGCGTCAATTTTTCAGTTAAATTTAGCGGGGAAACTGGGAGAAGGGGAGGGTAGGGAGGAGGAGGAGGATGGGAGGATATGCAGAAGGGAGGGTATGCAGGTGGAGGAGGAGGGGCAGGTATGGAGGAGGAGGAAAGAAGCAGAGGACGAGGAGCAGGGGAAGTGGGGAGGAGGAGAGGGTATGGAGGAGGAGGAGGGGCATACCCTCTCCTTTGTACCCTCCCCTCCTTTTTGAGAGCTGCGCTCTAATTTCACATTACAGAGGTTTGCAAATGTCTTTCACTTTAGAGCGCAGCTCCTAGGCGCCCGTTTCCGGCTTGAGCGGCGTCGCCGTCAGCGTAACCCTCGTGAGGGTTACGAGGGTTAGTTACCCTCAAAAGGGTTACCCTCAAAAGGGTTACCCTCAAAAGGGTTGCCCTCAAAAGGGTTGCCCTCACGAGGGTTACCCTCACGAGGGTTACTAGGGTTACCCTCGCAAGGGTCACGAGGGTTACCCCCTGAGGTCACGTGAACCCCCGATGTCAAGCGACCCCCCCCCCCCCCCCCCCCCCCCCCCTGAGGTCATGTGACCTCAGGGAGTCACCTATTCCTCAGTGCCCTTCCATCCTATCCCTCAGTACCCTTCCATCCTCCTTCTTAAGAACTGTGCTCTAATTCGGCATTACAGGGAGTTGTACACGGCTTTCATTTTTTTTTGTCTGGGAGGTAGGTTGATTTCCAATTCTAAAAATCTGTGCCAAGTTAAAAAAACGTGGGTCTATATTTGAATATATGGTAGTCAAGGTTGTTCCCTGGCAGCTGTCGATCAAATGGACAGTCAACTTTTACTTCACTTTGGTTCGATCGCTGCTAAGAAGCAGTGTCACTTGCAGTAGTGTAGGTTTTAATAATATTTGGAAGAGGTAGTTTTGGCAGTTCATAATATTAAACTCTCAAGTTTGGTAGGTATTTAAAACTTGGGGGACGCATTTTTGTTGATAGACGAGCTGGTTTTTGCAGGCATTTTCCTGAACTTGTATATACGGGCTAAATGAACTAGCAGCTGTAAAAGTGTAAGGGGAGAAAAGCTCTATCCCAAGTGAAGTCTTGCACTATGATTCATTTTTCATAAATTTTTTTGTACCCAGTGTAAATGAAAAGCAGGAAAACAGGAGAGTCGGGCTCCCCTGTGCTAAAATATATATTATGTCATATCATATCAACCTTCTCTGACCGTGATAATGGAACCTTCTCTGACTGTGCCTTATATCTAAAAAGAATGCTCTGTGTTCCTTTGGCACCCTATCTCTTATTTCAAAAGGTGAAAAGTAATATGCTCCAGTATCAAAGAGCAACCCTCAGTCATTGTCAGAGATGAACTTATTTAGGGATGCAATCACTTTTTCATTTTCAAATTATGTGCTAACAGATGTTGGCATCTACTCCAAAAGGATCAGCGATTGCTCCAAACCAATGTTTTGCCTGCCACAGAAGCTGCTACAAAAGGTCAAATGCCACTTCTATCAACTTCTTTTGTTTCCAGTCTGATTTTTTTATTTACAGCTTTTTATTTACCTTCTGAAAACCTCCATTCCTTAGCTTTGAATGCCAAACTCTCGACATCCTAGTCACCCATTTTTGGTCATGTGGCTCAGTTGTCAGGAGTTCGAGCTGTGTTCATCCTTGCTGAAGGCCACTTTTTTAGTTCCCAATTTTTTTTTATTTCAGCAGCTTTGTTCTTAAATCTAGAAAGTAGTCCTTGACTTTTTGACGGTAGTCTTTTTCCCCAAAAGATGTTTCCCAGTGGTTGGGTTTTGTTTCCAGAGGAATAGTATAAAGCAGTGGTTCTCAAATGGGGGTCCGCGGACCTTTTGGTGTCTGCGAAGGCATTCTAGGGGTCTGCAAAGCCCTGCCTCATCAGTCAAGCTGGGCAATAGAAGTTGTCTTTTTTCAAAATTGAGAAGGAACGTTCCCATATTCGGGTGAGTTTTATGTCAATGAGAGAAGTCTACTTCACACTAGCCATTAGTTATATCAATTTATTTGATAATTATCATAATTAACCTATAGTTTTCACTTCCCCTAATCACGAACGGGGTCCTCTATCATCTTGGTCGATCCACAAGGGGTCCGCGAAACATGAATGGTTGGGAACCCCTGGTATACAGAAAGGGTGGATGCACAAGTCGATGCACATGCGCAAGCGGGAGCGCATACTGTGCACACAAGCGGTTCAGAAGCTCCAAATAGAAATATTGAAGGCAAAAAGTTGTCACCTTTCTTCCATCCGGTTTCATTTCGGCACGTCCACTTCCGCGACATTGCATACGTTTTTAGATTCCGAATCGCAGATACTTTACGCAGCTTCTCCATCGGATTGTAAGCTCTCATCATCTGAATTCAATTCTGACGAGCGTTAAAAGTTGGAACAGTTGGCGCTCCAATAGACATTATTCATAATTGTGGCGCCATCTATCGGGAAGGTCGGAAGCACATGATTCAAACTGCCTCAAAGATGGCAGCACGCCACCCTTGTTTTGGGACTCAATAGGAGGCCCCGTGGAATGGGATGCATCTAGACTGCTGTGACGCATTAATTTACTCAAAGCGTTCCTCGTCAATCTAAGCTCCTCTGATGCAGCACTCACATTTGGAGTCTCAAATTCGCTGATCTGCACAAATCTCTTAAAGGAATTCCTTCTTTTGGGTTTTTGTTTGATACGAAATGTGTCCCGATCTCGCCAGGGTTATGTCAGTGCTGACCCATGCACCCCTGCTGAACACTGGCGACTTGTACGGTGGAATCGTGAAGCTGCACGTTTGGATAATGAACTCTGAAATTTGCGGAATGTGTCCTTTTAGCTCATATTTTGTTTAAAAATACTTTTTGTTAGTTTGAAAGTAAGAGATACAACGAATGCTTAATGATTGTATAGTGTGATCCATAACAGACCTTGTCAAAAGTTAGCTTGCGAGAAATTTTTTTTTTTTTTAAATTAACGGTCACCGCAATTTTGAAACTTCTTGTCCAGAGTTGGGTCGAAACTCGGATGAAGAGGCAGCCATCTTTGAGGCTCGCAGCCTGGCATTCCCATTAAGGTGCTGATAGGCGGCGCCAAAAATGCATAGGGTGTAATGCCACAACTGTCAGAGCAGGCCGACATGTGAAGCAACCACCTCCTCGTGCAGATCACTTGTATGTATCATATGGCATGTGCGGAGTGTCTTATTTCAAAACTATAATTAGCCCCAGCAAAGCAAAACACTGTGTGAATACAACATTTGTAGTTCACCAAAGACATAGCAAAAAGCATGTGCGGTTTTGCGTTTTGGTGGGCACTTTTGAACGCGTAATCGCCGCGGTACACGTACGGCGACGATAGTCAAAGGGTTAAGAGTAACGAGATGCACGGCCGTTGCATTGGCGTGCGGTCGAGCGTGTCTGGGATGCTCTCTCCTTGTGAGTGTGTGCGGGAGCGTGATCATATGGTGCAAGATAGGCGTACGACTCACCCAACAAGCAGGTAGCTTTGACCATACTGCCAGCTTACGAGTGAACAAAGTATAATTCTGGGCAATAAGCTGTCTGTGACTTACATACCGCCTATAAAAAGTTTTAGCCAAGATTGACCTCCATCAATTGTGAAGGTTTTCAGTTATCATTGGTACCCATACCACTTGCACTGCATAAATGTGCCTTCCGTGGTGTCTTTTTTATGAGGACCCTGTTAATGTAGCTACCCCGCTAGGCAACATTTCCGGGGATGATAGGCGCATTTTTCTCTCGTTATGAACAACCCGAATTACGGACACTTTTCGGGGGGAATGGAGGTGTCTGTATGAATGAAACGTTGCCGTATATCTTGTGTCTCATGTTGTCATGTTTTCCGCTTTTAACATTGACTGTAAAGCCCTTCCCTCTTTTTTTAGTCTCTTTGCAATGGTCCCCCTATGGACCATAGCTATAGTCGCCCTATGGACCCTTCAAAAGTGACCGTTCCCGTCCTCGTGCGCAGGAGGACCCACGGGTGCTACGACGGCACCCAGCACGCAGCCCGTGGTATCCTCGGGGGCCTACCCCCAGCAAGCCTACCCTGTGCAGCAGATGGTCAGCTACCCTGTACAGCCCCCGGCTCCCGCGGGAGCGCCGGGCGCCCCCGGATTCGGCTACTACGCATCCCCCTACGGCAACCCGCCGCCCTACACGGACACGGCCATGCCCGTGCAGCAGCCCCCACCCATGCAGCAACCGCCCTACAACCCCGGCTACCCCGCCAAATGAGAGAGCGCCACTGAGTGAAAGGGAGAGACTGTTTGGGAAGGTGCTTTCGCGTACCCCCGCTACCATGAGGATAGATGTTTCCGGGAAAGGTTTGCGTGCCATTGGTCGCACCGCGGACGACACATTTGTCGTCGTTCCGCTCAAGGGTTTCCTCTTTCTTGTTGCTGACCAATTCCGTCATATTTACGGATTACATTTATGAATTGATGGATGGGCTTCGTTCCCGTAAATAACGGTGCTTTTTTCTTTTTTTCTTTTTTTTTTTTTGAAGAGCATCTTGGGAGATGGTATTTTGGAAGGAGGGTGGAGGACTCTGCCATGGTTCGGATGACTCGGTGCGGGTAGCCACCAGTGGCATGGGGACAAGGGGGCATTTCTTTTGGACACCCCAGCTCTCACTGCTTTTAACGGCGCTTGCACCATCTGTACGTGGTGTTGTGTTGTCGCCGAATGCGAAGGACATGTATTGGGTGTGGGAAAGCAAGAGAAGTCATTGTGTCTCATCGTTTCCAGTGTCTGGCTGTGTCATTACAAACCTTCCAACATGCCAGTGTATAGGTCTTGCTTTTTGGCCCCCGCATTTAGAAAGTTTGTGCCATCTTTTGTCAACGAATTGCTTGTCGGACGAAGCGTGGAGTGGGCTTTGGATTGGAGTTGCTTTCAACTTTTTCGTTTTCATACTTTGTTTGTTTCTATGATGATGTCTTTGTCGCTTGTCTCGTTTTATTCTCTCCTGGTTGCCCGACTCTTTTTGGTGTGAATCTGCATGGTCATGGAAAAAGACAAGTATGCTGTGGGTTGGTGACCTACAGACACCCTCACTTGTGATTTTGTGAGAAAATAGCTTTGCCAAACAATGCAAATTCGTGTAAGTTGTCACATGTCTTGCACATTTACACCAGCATAACAATGTCAACCATTCTGCTGGCATTCTTTCTAATTTTTTTCGTGTGCATTTGGAAGTGTGTTGTGGGCATTGTACTAACTCAGGGAGGGGGTGAAGGTTGGGAGTTGGCAAACTTGAATCTTGGTTGCGTTTTTCGTTTCGGTTAGACTCGAGGGCTGTTTGTGGAAATCTCGGGTGGTGAGTGATAATGCGCTTGCATCTGATCCCTACTTAATGCCCCTCCCTCGTCCCTTGGTCTCAACTCCAGTGTATTTATGAAAAAAGAAGAAAAAAAAGAATGTGTGTCTTTTTGCACAGATGTGTTTAGCCTCCCTAGTTCCTGCTCTAAGAAAATTGTGCCTGTTCTGCCTCATAGACAGCATGCTCCATATGCCAAAGTGAGAATACGACTCCCAAATAATAATAAGTAAAACAGCCGTGAGGGTCGGGGAAACAGTTAAAAAGGAACCGAATCAGCTCAGATCTTTGCAAAGGCTTTTACAACTTAGCCTGGCATGCAAACCTTTTTAAATTATTATCCCCTGCACAATTCATACCTTCCGGAAGACATGCAGACTGGTCTTGTCAGTATACAGAAAAGGTGCCATCCCAGGTGTAGTGCATTCGTCACATGTATGAGTTATGTAAAAGTTTAGAATTTACTGGTTTTTTTTTTGTCTTTACGGGAGGATTCTCTGTCTGCATGCATGCTGCCCATGGCCACAAAGAAATTGCATGGGGCAAGGATTTCATGCTCAGGTTCGAAAGGACTTGCAAAACTATATGTCAGTGCTCATGCACTTCCTAGCACTTCAGTCATCTGTAGCTTGCTGCGGTTGTCAAATCTAACTATTATTTATACACTTCCCCTTCATGCATGTCAAGTTTGGAACACAAAAACATTTCCATTTGGCATGTGTATTTGGTAGTAACTATGTCTGGGTCACACTAACTACATTATGGTTTCCTCCTTTCCTAGTGGACTCCTTTCCTTGTACAAGGCAATGCTGATTGAAGACGGGAAAATGAGTGATTTGCGTGCATGTTTCACCCATTTCGTTTCCGTGATGTTGACGTTTTGTATGGATTCTTGTTATTCCCGTCTCCCGTCCTTATGCCCACATTATTTCCGCTAGTCACAGAAGTGTCCCACTGGGTTTTTGTCAGTCTTTCAACAGTCGCGGTACATTTTCTTTTTTTTTTTTTAACAAGCGACGAATGTTCCTATGTTAAGAACCCATACTGTTGCATAGATTGCCGCACAGCTTGGAATAACCTTGTATTTGTTTGGCCTTCATGTTTAGAAGGCTTTCATTACTATGTGGGCTTTCGTGTACAGGGGCAGTTGGCTGCGCAGTTCCGACATCAATTTTTCCGCCTCTTTGCCTGAAGTACAACCTTTGTCAATGAAATTCCAACCAACCAGAACAAACAAATTTCCTGTGCCATTGCTGTCGCTCAAGGTTCTCAAGTGTGGTGCGAATGCTTTCGCGACTACCAAGGCTTGTCGGCAGTTGAGTTTGATGTACGTCCCACCTAAGAAACCGGCTGTGGTTCTCAGCACGTCCCAGTACATCGCATTTCGGTTTTAGTTATTCCGTCACACGACGAGTCGCAAAACTGTTTGACTGCTTTAATAAACATCTGTACATGTCAGACTTGTTGGGCTCTGAAATCTGGGTGTTGGGCATGGTTCCCGCCAAAAACTCAAGAAAAGGTCGCACATGGGGAGGGAGGTCTGTGGTAGTTAGCAGAGCGTCAGAATGTCATCTTTTTACTGTACATTAGAAAGCCCAAAAATATAGGTGTGGTATCACTAGTACTGCATGGTGCATGCTAAAGACCCCCGGGCTAGCGGTTGTACTGCACTGGCTAAATCACTCATATACAGCTGAGAGACAAGTGGCCAGTTGAGGCAGATAACTTCAGGCTGTGTAAACATGCACACAATAGGATCAGAGTGTTTTGTCGCATTCTGCTTTATCGACAGAAATAAGAGTAGCACAGATTGCCAACTTTGACGGTGTTAGATTTATGAACACTATGGCTTCAAGCTTCCGCCGTGCTTGTTACACATACCATCAAGCTTGTCGTTCACATTTGATAGTCCTAGTCAAGCCGTCGCGAGTAGAAGCCATGAAGCCACAGTCCCCCCCCCCCCCCCCCAACAGTGTTCATATATGCATACAAAAAGATTACAAGATCCATTGGTGGATTTTTAGGGAATGCATTGGCATGACTCTTGGAAATGCCACACAGACCCTTTGGGAAACGCTAACACTGACCCCTTCACTTTTTGCTTTTCCTTCCTCTTTTTGCTACCTCTTTTTGGCCTCGGTAAGGGGTCAGTGTTAGCGTTTCCCAAAGGGGGACGTGTGGCGTTTCCCAAGGGTCATGCTAACGGATGCCCTAAGAAACCACCAATGGATCTTCCCACAACTTTTTTACCCCTTTACTCTGCCAGTGAGGTCATCCAATGTGGGGTCGACGCCCCTGGATACGGTCATCCATATCGCACGTGGAACCATATCCATATCACTCGTGGAGGGAACCGCATTCATCGTACTAACTACACAGACATCACAGCTCGCGTACCGCTACTACGGGAACCCAGAGCGAAGAACAACCGGCGACGGCAGAGCGGTAACTGAGCACGCCCGCATTCCTCTGCGCCTCGGCGCAACATTACTAAAACCGTGCAGTACAGCCAAAGCTACGGGGGAGAGAGCGTATGCCAACCTGTTCAAAAGGAGGAACGTGAAAAGGGCTGAGATTCCCCTGTTCCTCCTTTCCCTCTTCTTGAACAGGTGGGGATAAGGTCCCTAGATAAGAGCTTCCTACAAGTAGCGACATTCTTTGAAGCACCGACTGCGTGACGGTGGAGGTTTTAGGAAGCGAATGGCGGCGCACAGCGGAGGTTTGAACTGAATGCCGCCATTTCGTTCCAGCGGAATGTGTCTTGTCATTTTAGTGGTTGTCGTTACTTGTAAAAGAAGTTTCAAAGGACTTTAGGTCGGGATACACTCTTTCCTTCTAGTTTTGGCTGCACTGCACAGTTTTAGTGAGACGGATGGAAACCCGTAGTGTTGAACAGACTTACACGTAATCCGTTACAAGTAACAAAATTACTTGTCATCCCTTACATTTATCAGTAATTTTGTAGGGAGATAATTACGTAATTTTTGAAGTAATTTTCTTACTTTTTTATGTAAGAGAATGATCGTAATCAGTTACTTTTTCGCAAAGAAAAAAGCGGGAATTGTAAATAATGGAGCAAATTGTTTTTTCTTGGAATTTTTTACCTTATCTACCTTAATCACTGTCATCGGCACTTGCTCGATGCAACATGTCGCATTCTTCAGATGCTCAAAGCCTTTCTCCATGCCACCTAAGAGATCGTTTTTTTTTTGTTGCTTTTTGGTGGTTTTCAAATAGGTGAGCGGCGTTTGGCAACTTCCGGTTACTTAGGAAATTTTGTTTTGCTCTTGACAAACGACGACGATGATCTGCAAGCCTGCATCTAAGCATGGTTCTGAAAACTGCAGTCTGGAGGTTTCAGAATTAGGCTTCCACAGGCTTGCAGCTCATTGTCATTTGTCAACAGTGAAACAAAATTTTCTAAGTAACTAAGAGTTGCCAAACGCCGCTCACCTATTGTAACTCGTCAGCTTGCTTGCCCACCAATGAAGGGACTCTCCGTGCAAACAGTATCAGACAAACTACCGAGATCAAAGCTTCTTTTTAACGAAGAAAAAGAAAACGGACAAGGGTGCACACGAGCTGGTGTAACGGATTTGTGTGCAGTAAAGCGCTGGAAGCTGGTGCATGCTGAGACACACTTTAGCCAAAAATGGTGGAGCGTCGCCGCCAGCCAATCTAGTTTGTCGCTGCGGCGTGGCGCCGGCATCTGCAGTACCAATAGAAACGTGCTCGCAAACGGCGGCGCGTCACCGGCAGCCTCATCAGACCAATAGGAGAGTGCGCGTCTGGATGTGTGGGATGCGCCATGAGCCACAAATGGCGACGCGTCGCCGGCATCTAATAGGAACGCCCGCGGTACGATCAAACGATGGCGGTACTTGTATAGGCTCCTTGCACAGGACGTCATTTCCGTTGCCCTCCAAAGAAGAGGGAAAGAAGGAGCTCCCCTCTTATCAGGACCCTCCTTTGTACCTCCCGGATTTGTACAGGCGTCGCTATTCTCCCCCCAGAAGATTATAGAAGATTAGCCTGTCACTCAAAATTCTTACAAAAGCAGCTTCCCTCTCCTCCTCTTAGTTGGTGTTCAAAAGTGTGCGATATGACGTCAGTGCAAGGAGCCTATAGGCTCCTTGCACATGACGTCATTTCCGATACCCTCCAGAGAAGAGGGGGAGAAGGAGCTCCTCTCTTATCAGGACCCTCCTTTGTGCCTTCCGGATTTGCACAGGCGTCGCTATTCTCCTCCCAGAAGATTATAGAAGATTAACCCGTCACTCAAAATTCTTACAAAAGCAGCTTCCCTCTCCTCCTTTTACTTGGTGTGCAAATGTGTGCGATGTGACGTCAATGCAAGGAGCCTATAAGTCAGGATATCCAGCGCTTTAGTATGCGGATTTTGTTTTACCTCTTCATTTTTTAATGCGAATTCCATGGAGCGAGCCGACGTCATCAGCTTTGAAGCCGCGCCAAACGGCACCTTAAATCCTTTCTCCAAGTGAAGCCAGCTTCCAGCTATGAAACCACGCGAAAAATCTAGCCAAACGGCACCTAGTTTCTCCGATCCCAAAGGAGAGGAGTAAAGCTGATGGATTTCGACTTTGGTCCCATTGGCTGGCGCGCGCCGACGAGGCTCCGATCGGCCGCCGCGCGTCAGTTTCAACGGCCGCCACGCCATGGTGCTGCGTGTCCGCGAGGCAGCGGCTCCACCGCTCCACGCCCATGGTCAGCGCGCCGAGGACAACGCGCTCGCTCGACCGTCGACGCAAGTACGCCGCAGACGAAAGAAGAGAGCGGAAGAACTTTGTGGATGCTTTCGCATTCACAACTCATAAGAAATGCATAAATGTACCTAAGTCTTTTTTTGTTTTTTTCCTTCTGTTTAATTCAGAAAGAAATGACTTCTTTGTATCAACTTCATTGACGAAAACAATTCACACTGGAGAGAAAAGTGAAGTTTGGGAGAGCCGTACCTATAGATCACAGCGTCTCAATGGGCCGACAGGATCTGGGTGACAATTTGGGCGACGAACGGGTAGGAGAGACTTTGCGAGCGGATTGCTTTCTAGCCGCTCAATCTCGAACCCACTGCAGTCACGCGTCCAGGTGACAGCACCTATTTGGAAAAAGGTCGATTAAAAAGTTGTTCAGCTCGGCGGACGACATCTTCACATAGAAAGGAGGAAGGATGTCCGATGGGACTTTTGAGAGCCAGATGTTTCTCGAGGTCAGAAAAGTGTGAGTGGCGGCAACAATAACCGCTTCCATAACACTTGTGTTTTTTGTCTTACCTGAGCCTTACCTAACATTGAAAGTAACGGTCACTTACTTTTCTGCAGGTGTAATTGTAACTGTAATTAGTTACAATTTAGCCATGGGTTCCCTACTTTTTTTTAGTAACGTATACGAGTCTGGTGCTCAGATGGCGTCATCAGAGAAGTGCAACACTGGACACATGCTGGACACGACGATTGCGCCAACGTTCGGCTCAAACTTGACTCGAAGCTGCGCGCCACGCAGCACTCGTTTCCAGGGTTGTAAAAGTTACTTTAAAAATGTACCTAAGATACAGTTACAGTTACTCATACGAAAATGTACCTAGGTGCGTATCTAGCTACTCGCTTAAAAATGTACCTAGGTACAGGTACAGTTATTTCAAAGGTACTTCTTTATTTTCACGTCAAGTATTTTTCTCAAATTTGTGACATTATTATTGGAAGTAAACCCGTTTTATACTGGGATGTACACAAAAACAAGTTTCATAAACGTGCTTTATTGGTGTCAATGTTTTTAGGAAGGAAGAGAATATTTTAACGCGAGCGCGTTTAGGAGCTCGTGTCACAGAAAATCCGTCGGATGTCGGTGGCGTCGGTGGCGTGACGGGAAATTCCTGAATGGTCGATAGGGTCGTGACGTCACAGCCACATGACTTCGCGCGGGAATTTCAAACAACCCACAACGCTCATGTGAAACGTGACGTCACGCATGGAATGAAGGTGGTTAAAGACATACGAATTAATGGTCGCCGCATGTTTCAAATGATCCTCCTTGATAAACTAATTCATTTGCCTTTAAAGAAAAATTTGAAGAATTTACGCAGGATCGCACCCACGACCCTTCGGTTGCGAGCCAGACATGCTACCGACTAGGCAACGGAGGGCTTGGGAATGGCACTGCGATCCTGCCGTCATTAGAGTGCCTCGATGCCTGTCTGTGTCAGGGTAAAGGCATTATCGCATTGAGTGTTGTTAGCGCGTGCTGTAAAACACATAAATAAACCTTGCGGGGTAAAATGGCATCAAAGCACTGGCAAAAGCTCCTCGATCGCGCCGGGAGTGTTGTATCATAAGGACTGGGTCGTTGTGTGACTCAAGAGCATGAGAAGCAATTGAGAAGGCCATGCGAACGGGGCCCGATAACCCTATCGCGGTCAACTCTTAAAGGCGAAAAATAATCGTCC